TTTCATCACAATTTAAATTATCTAATTGTTCATCACTATAGTCTTTGTGATCAACAAGCTTACCAAGGATTCTTAGTACATGATTCCATTTTGTTTCAGCAGATGAAAAACTACAAAATAATGATGCAGGTCCTAACTGCCGAATCATAGCAAACAAATCCTTTTTTGCTTTTTCAAAGTAAGGTGGGGAACCTCTCAAAGCTGTTAAAAATTTGTATCCTTCATCATGGCAAATGAGATTTGTTAAACCTTCTGGCGTTTTCAAATCACCAGCAGTAAGTGTTCTGTTTCCCATTTTACACTTGCGAATAGCAAGCTGCGATTGCCCCAGCAATAATTTCATCTGCATTTTCTTAGTTTTAAAAAATATGTTCTCAATACACATTGCAGCTCTTCGATCAGACCGTCTAAGTTCTGATTTACATATTTCACTGTAATAAACACGGGTCAATCTTTGCTTCTCATCAGGCCGCTTTTGACCTAAGAATATTCCTGGATAAGCTAGTTCCTCTGAATACTGATCTCTAAATATACTGAGTGGTCTACTACCTTCACCAGGTGCCACATTGTATATATGCTGTCTTTCAGTATCATCTACAAAATCAGTAGGTGTAAGCATACTGTCTGTTACACCTGCAGGAATTTCTGCTTCATCTTCACTCCATTCATCTTCTGATGTTGAATTAGTTTGATTAACTGTAGTATTTTCATTGTCACTATTAGGTGTTGTAACATCAAAGTATGATAACCAATGCTGATCAAAAGTTATTCCTTGTTCTCGATATAGTTCACTAGTATTTACCAACCAAGCTGCAGCTTGCATCACTTTATTAGGTCTCACATTCAAAGACAAGGCAGAACTCTTATATTGCAGTCGACGTTTTAATTGAACTTTAATAGTCCCAGTGTCCTGTGGCAACCTGGGTAGCATGTTAACGGTATTACATATGTCCGCTGGTACATTCACAACATTACCAGTAATCTTAAGTTGCCGCCCCTCGGAGCTTGCATTATTTTTTGAAATGCCAATCTTGGAGCTATAAGTCTGCATTCTAATTCATTTAAATCAAAGAAGTCAGGTTTTGTTGGAAACTTCATGCCATTTGTAATTGCAGAGGGTGGCACTTTACCCTTTTTAAGATGTTTGTCACATGTCAAACACAGCCATTCAATATTATCCACACTTTTAATACCTTGTAGATGTTTAGCAGAATTTGGATTGGATAATCGAAGTCTTTCGGCTGGACAAACACTATGTTTATACCATAATTGATCACAGCATGAACATATATACAGAGGACCTGTTGATACAGATTTATGGAATTTATGTATCAATTGTGATACACTATTATGTGATATATTGTTATCATTATTGAGCCCTTGACAACCTGATGGAGGAGATTGTTTGTTTTTTCTAGAATGTCTACTTTTATTTTCCTTATAATTAGCTCTTACTTTTGCTAGTCTTTGCTCTCTTTGTTCGACAGTTTCATTTTGCCTTTCCAACCTTCTTGCTTTTCGCTGGTTTTGAAGCCTATTTTCCCTCTCTGAAACAGTTTCTTGTTGTTTTGCCTGTCTTCTTTTCTCTCCTCGCTTTGCAAGTCTATTCCCTCTCTCTGAAACAGTTTCTTGTTGTTTTGCCTGTTTTCTTCTCTCTCTTTGCTTTGCAAGTCTATTCTCTCTCTCTGAAACAGTTTCACGTTGTTTTGCCTGTTTTCTTCTCTCTCTTTGCTTTGCAAGTCTATTTTCCCACTCTACAACAGATTCTTGCTGTCTTTTCTCTCTTTGCTTCTCTCTTAGCTTTTCAAGTCTGTTTTCTCTTTCTACAACAGACTCTTGTTGTTTTTTGTCCTTTCGCTTTGCAAGTCCATTTTCTTTTTCTATAACAGACTCTTGTTGTTTTCTTTGTTGTTCATGGTTATTTGATGTTGTGTCATTCGCTGTGTTAACCAAACTATTTGACAATGAAATGTTTCTATGACATTTCACACCCTTTAACTCAAATAGACTATTTTGATTATTTTGTCCAGGATAGAACTTACAACTATTAGTGTTATGAAAAAAATGTATAAGGTTTTGAATTCCTTCAATAGAAACTAAAACACTATAACCCATTGCTGCTGGCATTCCATGCATATCTCGTGAATGAGAATCAAAAACTTTAAATACATCTGGGAAAGGCATTAAAACTGCAACAGTGTTTGCTCGAATAGTAAGTAAACATGCTTTATAATTACCAGCATCAAATACTTCATGAAAGGCATGTTCAAGTGTAACATACGGTTCATTGTTATATTTCATCCATAATGCTCCAGAAAAAGAGTCACTGTACTCCAAATTAAAAGTATCATTGTTGATAGACAATATTTCAAGAACATCAGTGAGCAATAAGAAATCTTTCTGAATGTGCTGACTAATTATGGCATAAAGATTATTTGCATTAACTAGAAGCATGTTCATCAGTGCTGTATCCCAAATATTAACAGATTTTATTTCATTGTATACAATAGCATAAATTGACATGGCAACACATTGTTTTCCAGCATTTATGCCAAACATGGATATATTACCTTGGTTGAAGTCTGCTCGAACCGTAAAACTATGATCAACAATATCATAGATATTAATTGGGCCTGGATTTTCCTCCACATCATTTGCAAGCCTCAATAGCAATGGTACATAAACGTGATAAGATACCATTTGTGTATACCACATGCAAACTTCATTATTACTTTCAATCCTGGTAACTAGATTTTTCAAGCATGGTAAATAAAATATTTCTAAGTAGAACATTACTAACATATGGTTCCAAAATTTACCTTTCATTTGATTCATGGACTGTCGTGCTTGCACAAAGTTGTTATGCGAACCTATTCTTAGTCTGTATATCTCAATTGACACACCCATATTTCGATATTCTCACTGTTTGGAATAAAATAGTTTCGTTACAGTAATTGTCAATAAGTAGTGTACTGTGTATTTTCAGTATTGTCTTTGACAGTTTGTATTTGTAATTCTTTTAAAATTGCACAATGGCTAAGTCTCAATAATCCCAGCACAATGGCAATGGTCTGTTTTTTTTGCCTGCACAATGGCAAGGTTCAATTTGAGTGCGTGGCCTTTCACGCAAATAGCGCCTGATAAATAATCAGTGCGAACACAATGGCTCCGTTTCAATTTGAGTATTTTGAGAGCGTGGCCTTTCACGCTAATAGCGCCCTGATAAATAATCAGTGCGAGCACAATGGCTCCGTTTCAGTTTGAGTATAAAATAGAGTATTTTGATAGCGTGGCCTTTCACGCTATATAATAACGCCTGATAAATAATCAGTGCGAGCACAAAGACTCCAAAATCACAACAGATAACAGAATATAAGGTAAATTAAAAACAGCAAAGCTTTACCTTTACGCTCGATTATATAAAGTATTCGACCGAAGAATCGACGAAAATGTGCATGAAGTGTGGTTCACAATTCACATCACATCACATGATCAGTTGTTCACATGATTCAAAATTTATAATTATGCAGCGATAATTATGCTTATAAATGTTCGTAAATGTTCGTCGGAAAAGCTCGGTATTTGTCGCATTTTACGAATTTGCCACGTGACCGGTACGCTCATCAACGCTTATCACCGCTCATGCACCGCGACACGAAATTTATAAACAAAAATTATATATATTTAAATTGCAATTGGCATATAACTTTTTTAGAAAATCTATCTCATTATTCGCTCATAAGAATTTTCATCATTTTTATAATCATTTTTTGGCCTGAGACCGCCAGATTAATGCTTCCTACAATTTCAAGCTAGCGCTACGATAGATTGGGAGCGCTTTTTGATGTATCTATTTTAGAAGACAAGGGTCACGCGCGCAATGAGTTGTGGGATATCGTGTATCAAATTTCAAGTGTGATTTGCAAATTTTCGACTTTTTCGTTTGAGTATATTTTGCCCAAGAAGAGTCTATGGTATTTATCTTATTTTGTACTGGATAAGTGACTCCGAACCCTGCCGAAGGCTTATTGATCTCAGGTATGAAATATTATTGTTTATATCATATAATTATAACGTACATCGACCGTATTTACCCATTTTATCTTGTGGCTGTTGGCCTGTTGTAGTGTTGTGGCTGCTAAAATTTGAATTTGCGCGCGAGGTTTTATATATTGAATTATTTTATTTCAGTGCCGTCAAATGTTAGTTAAAATCAACAATTCAAATTTTGAATAAACACATTATAGTAAATACTGGGTTTCACTTGTTTGACAAAACTCGAGAAAGCATGTTTGAACTAATGTAAAACAATATGTTATTATGAATATAAATATGGCTGCATTGCTGATTGCTACAATTAAGCCCAGTATTAAAGCCAAAACATGATCATATCTATCTGAATCATAAAATTGTTAACCCAATATATAGAATTGATTAAGATTATCAATTCAGTGCATATTTCTTGGTTTTAGCATGTAAATGAATTGACTTTAAATTAAGCATTTAACCCATTCAGCCAGAATGTGCCCCTACTATTTTTCACTTGTCTAACGCCAGGTTTTTAACATATCTTAGAACCCTGTATACGTATATGTGCCTGTTTATGTGACAATGGCATGGCTGGACAGGAGGTTTTAATCCAGGGGCCGGTTGTTCAAAGGTGGGTTAACGCTAACCCTAGCTTAAAATTTAGGCTTCGTGTATTTCTGCACGTCTGTTTATTTCAAAACTTCAGAGAAGAAAACTCCTATCAATCCAGACAAGATCTCTGAAGAAATATTTCCAAATTTATAGACAAGCTGTCAGGAAGTTCGCTTTGAATTTTAGGTTAACCTACGGTTAAGCTAACCCAGCTTTGAACAACTGGCCCCAGGATGATGTGTTTATATAATCTAGAGCTGGGCGCCAGAGAGCCGGAGTTGGAAAACTCCGGCAGACAAATTTCATATTTCAACGAACATTTAACTTTAAATGGGAAAATTAAGTGTTGTTGTTTACTAATATATTACTATTTATATGTTGTTTTACTATATATTACTATTTAAAAAGGTTTTTAAAAAAGATAAATTCTGAAATTACACTGAAATACTTTCGCCTGCTTCCACTTTTAAATATGGAATTTCCTTAAAACTTTCTAGCCGGAGCCGGACCCGGAGTTGTGACTGCCGGAGTCGGACCCAGAGCCAGAGCTAAAATAACCAGAGTTTGCACAGCTCTATAATAATCTGGCATTCAAAAGACAGTAAACTAAGGAAGTAGGGCACATCAGGGCACAATATTCAGACACATCATGGTCATGTTAACCCATTAAAACAGGAATACTTTTTGAGAAGTTTTGCTGGTCGCTGAGATGGGGTGTTAACTGGATATTACACTAAGCCGGACATTGCATAAGCCGTATTGTGCCACAACTTTATTGTTTTACTTGGTCTAATGTCAGATGATTTTACCTGTCAGTGCTATCACTCAATGGGTTACTGAAACAAGTAGCACTTGATTTAACCTCACTTGTATCTCCAATACAACTGAGGTTAAATCATAACCATATGATTGTTTTCTGGAATGAGACAATAGCATATTAAATCACAAATACCAACAACATTGCCCTTACATTTTATACCTATCTAATGGATTTGGCTGTTCAAAAATTCTTTCTCAATTGTTGTAAACTCTATCCTACATAACAGAATGATTACAAATAAATTATTGATTTCTTTTTGTGGGAAAATGTGAGTCACAATGGTCAATTTGAGTCCCAGAAATCATGGTCCCACAGTCAAAATTTCAAATTTTAATCCATGAAGTTGCATCGCACCCTTTATTGTATCCTGTCTAACGCCAGACAATTTTATTTGTGAGTGGGAGAGTGATGGTGGTTAATTGGTTAAGGATGCCAAGTTATATCATGCTTTCAATAAGTAACAGAGTTGT